TACAACCCTCAGTCATCTCAGTCGGCCGCTGGTTCTGGTTACAACCCTCAGTCATCTCAGTCGGCCGCCGGTTCTGGGTACAACCCTCAGTCAGCTGCTGGTTCTGGGTACAAGCCTCAGTCATCTCAGTCTGCTGCGTCTGCCCCAGGCTCAGGGTATAAGCCTGAGTCTGCTCAGTCCACTGCTGAGTCTGGGTATAAGCCTCAGTCTTCTCAAGCGGCTGCTGAGTCTGGATACAAGCCTGAGCCTGAGTCTGCTCCCAAACCCAAGTCCAAGGACAACCCCGAAGCCGAGCATGCCCCTCAGCCCAAGCCTTCCTCCGAGCCTGCGGCCGCGCAAGAATTTCCGGAGACTTGCGTTCAGGGCGAGATCCTGTGCGGGCCTGACGGTCAGACATGGGCCAAGTGCGACTGGGGCAAACCTGTTCAGATGGGACCTGTTGCCGCCGGCACGCGCTGCAGACACGGTGTTATCGAGCGTATCTAGGCTTTTATCAGTCTTCCCTTTTTTTTTTCCTTAATATTTGCAAACGGCCTTTGGCTTTTCGGTGTCTGCACATACCATCCTTAATTTAGTTTGTGTCTTGTGGTTGCTGTATGTGAGAGGTTGTTTCAGTTTTTGAGTGTCGGTCTCGTTATTTCTCGTGTACTTTCTGCCAAGGGCCTTTAATTGGTTAATTATTAATCTGCCCTGCGTTCGCTGCTCTAGGTAGATGAATGTAATATGGTCCAAAAAATGTCAAATTATCAATCGTACCACTTCCAAGGAGCAACTACGATACAGCAAAGTGTACATGCATTAGAAATGGTATCATCAACTAGCTCATTCAATCATAGACCTGATCTCCTCCAGTAGAATTGAATTCCAAGTTCACTCAGCAAATGAGGCTCGGTCAAATATATTATCCACGCATATAAGCGTGTTTTTCGCGCATCTCCAACACCATAGAAACCGAACTGCACAAAGACTACCGTGATCAATAGGTGCCGGTATAGGCCGAGCCACCATAACCATTCTGCACCGTGTTCGGCGCGCCATTAGCCGCAGCGTTATTGTTGCGCGAGAAGAAGCGACCACCGAAGACGCCGGGCTTCTCGGCTTTATCGCCCATTTCCACGTCTTGAGGGGTCGGGTGACCAGGAAGCATGTCGTCTGCACTGGCGGTTTCCGGGGTACGCTTGTTGCGGCGCCAGAAGCCGCGGCGTTGGGTGCCGTAGGTGTACCCGTTTGCCGGGGAAGGGCCGAAACGCTTCTCGCGCTTGTGGTGGCGGGCGTAGAGGAGTTGGAAGAGGATTGAGATCAAGAAGAGGAAACTGGTAGTTCACAGATTAGTAAAGAACCTTGACAGACAGGCTAGAGAAGCGTGTCGCGACTTACATTCCGATAATTGAGACCGCGAAAGTGACCTTTTCGAGCATGCATGCGTAGCCCAGCCGGACGCCAGATGCGCTGTCGACATTATCAGCGCCGGAGCCCAGGGGAGTATTGACGTTCCCGGAGCAAGACTGGGTTCCGTCACGGGTCATCACGGCGATGGCGATCATCGCTCCGATAAAGCACACATCGAGGACGATAGCCAGGAAGGCGAAGAAGGCAATCCCGCCCACGCAGCAGGTGAAGAGTGATCCGAGGATTCCGTACAAAGCTGCCGCGCCGGAAAGACCCTCCACGGCCTTCATCCATGTTGGAATGTGCTGGTTATGTTGGCTCTGAACAGCCAGAAAGTATGAGAAGATTCCCAGGATGACTGCGGCAGCGAGGAACTGAAGAACACGGATGGCTAGATTGAAAAAGCGGAGAACGACGCCGCCGGCTCCCATATTGACGGTTTCTCACTCGCGACTAGGCGAGAGGTCGTAAATAAACAGTCGATGGTAAGTATGGAATTCGACCGGGCGAGAGCTATTCTAAAGAAGACAGCCAGTAAAGGCGATTCGTGGAACTGCGAACCTCACAGAAAAGCGCTGCAGGCAATGGGATTCTTCAGGGAGAATAAAAGAGTGCAGAGTTTGAAAAGATGCAGCCCTCGAAGGCAGCAAGATTGCACTTGTAATAAGTTCCAGGGGACAAGGTGTTGTGGCATGAAGATCGGTGGAGGCATTTACTGGGTGCCAAGGAGATAATGGACCCCAAAACCAGCGATAAGAGCTTCTCACAGGCCACCATCCGTTGAGGATCCAGAAGATCATGATGGGGATCCGCAGATGATGACGAGCACTTGATAGTGATTGGAAGCTGGAGCGGCAAAGGAAAAGCTCTCCATGTCGACATTATTAGAAGGGTAGCCTGTTGATGTCACTACTTGGACCCTTGTTCCCTCATTGGTCTTTACGGTGGAGGACTAAGCCTTAGCCGGCCCACAAGAGTCAAGGTCCCTTAGGCTAATGTTCGCTTCCGAATGCTGTGCCCTTCATGGTTCCATGATTCCATTCCGTCATCCCAGGTTCACCCAAAGTATCTGACGCTCTGATCTKGTTACACGTGAAAAAAGCTTCTGATTATTTTTAGTGTATCCGGAAGAGGAACTTTTCAGCAAAAATTGACGCGTTCAATTAGGTAATACAGGTTGAGCCACATCAGAAAGGTCTCAGCCACGGTGCACAGCCATCCTCAGGCTCCCACCAAAACTGAGTGTCGAACATCATCGCATCGTCATGATTCAATTGTGTATATGGTACATAGAATGAAGTCCCAACGGGCTCCAGGAGCGAAACTGTGGGAAGACAGAGCGACAGTTGTGGATGCGAAAGGAAGGGAATACAGTTATGATGCCTGTACATCAACCAGAATCTTGCAATGCTCACCACGATCTTCAAGAAGCGTCTTGAAGCCCTTATCTACCACCTCGTCCATTCTTACCTTTGCTGTGATCATCCCTTCGGGTTTCAATTGACCTTAGAACTTGTGTGTCAGCTGGGGATGACTCAACCTCAGGCGGTTGTGAACGTACCGTAGTTCAGTGCTTGGATAACATTTCGGAAAGCGCTCTCATCATACAGCGCTGCGCCGGTGTAGTTAACTTCATGGTACATCAACTCGTTCACGCGTATAGAAGGTCGCTTCTCCCAGACGGCGATGTTCACAATAGTACCATGGACACGGCATGCAGAGATGGCTCCGTCCAAGGCGACCTCCACTCCCGCAGTGTCGAAGATGACATCCGCGCCCACGCCATTTGTCAACTCCCGCACTTTCTCTGGTACATCGCATGTGCGAGGGTCGATAATGTCTGTGGCTCCGTACTTGAGGGCGAACTTCTTGCGGTTGTCGAGTAGTTCGGCTACCATGATCTTCTTGGCTCCCTGAAGCTTCAGGATTTGTACAATTCCTATCCCAATCGGACCTCCTCCGATAACCATGACGTTATCCCCTCCCTTGAACGGGGATAGGTTGACGGCATGCCAGGCCACGGCCAGCGGCTCAATCAGAGCTGCCGCCTCGAGAGACACATTGTCAGGAAGCGGATAAAAGTGCTCAGCGGGCGCCACGGTGTGCTTCGCCATTCCGCCGCCATATCCTGCAACTGTTCAGTTTCAGGGTCCCGGCGTATCCGAATCGGGCGCGTCTTACCTGATAGTCCAATAAACCCAATATTCTCACAGCAGTACTCAAAGCCGAGTTTACAGGAGCAGCATTGTCGGTCGAAGATCGTTGGACGAACCACTGCTCGCTGTCCAGGCGATAGCTGCGTTACCCCTTCGCCGACTTCTTCAATGATGCCTGCAAACTCATGACCCAATGTCACAGGATAGGAAGTCCCCGTAATCTTGTGTGGCTCCTTTGGGATGAGAACGGGGCCAGCACTATACTCATGAAGGTCTTTTCGAATTAGCATCTGCGAAGCTTGAATCAGTGCAGGCCAGACTTACCACTGCCACATATCCCCACGAACGCTGGCCGCAGCTATATTTCCCAATATATCAGTGAAATTCGTTTGCTTTGGTAGAATCTCACCTACCTTGACCTGGCCCTTGCCACAGGTTGGCTCGTCAATTTCCTCGATTCGGATATCGCCAGGTCCGTGGAAGCGAACCGACTTCATTGTAGGTGTTGTCTTGAGTCTAGTTCGTACCGTATTCGCAGAGTCAATTGTAGTGTTTAGCATTTTGAGGGCTTATCTGTTCTAATGTTAACCTCCGGGAACGACCAGAGGCTTTGCTGACAATCTCATATAACAGCGTCGAAATTGAAGGTTTGACTGATCATTCCAAATAAGGAGCTGGGCCATGATGACTTCTACAAGAATATATAGTGAAGATTGTCGTTGAAGCAAGGACAATTCTCAAAGAACGTTGCAATGACGTTAGATTATATCAAATATCCTAAGCATGGTCTGCTAGAACCTCAAGAGGCTCATATGAGTTATGTACATTGGATGGCGTATTTGATTGGCAGACATACTGAATCGTCGATTGATCATAGTTACACCATCGATGATATGAATCGTCAGGTGCATCCATGGCTCCGAGATCTCATTTGCGACTATCAGATCATGGTGACAGCGGACGCGGCCAATTCGCTAATACACTTCTTTCTATGTTACCATGAGAGGTTCTGACGGAACACAGGCAAACTTTCTGATATCAAGGAAGTAGTCGAGCCCAAGTCACCCGCAGCGAAGCAGACGCTGTAATGGCAGCAGTGGCGTCTATCAAATCGGATTCCAGTGGCCTTGCAAGCGATAGTATCTTATGCGGGCATAGATGTGGGGAAGTGGCGTCATCATGAAACTGGGGAGATATCTTGGCAGGCTCCCACACTTGACAGGCGCAGATACATCCGCTAGGTTGACCATGAGTAATTCAGCCATCAGATTACTCGAAAACTGTTCAAAAGTACCTTACCTTTTGCAATTGACGCTGGTGAATCTTTGAAATCTTTGACTGGCAGCTTATTTGATCCACCAATAGAAATCGAGCTTATCGACCGGATATGTGCAAGACCCATGCATTAGAATGCACTATTGCACGCATCGGATCATGATTCCTCTTCTCGCTGCTGATCAACGAAAGCCCGAAGAATTGATTCTAGCCCTTCGTTGCGGCGCGCAAGCAACATCACGTCAGAGACATTGATCGTAGAACGGCCGGCATGTCTGCATCGGTGGAGGCACCATGTCAGCCGGCATACAGGAAAAATCCTACTCTCAAGCATCCATGCACGAAGCGAAATTGCAAGACAATGACGCTCGTCAATAAGACCAGAGGAAATAACTCACTTGGCAAAGAACTCCAGATCTTGGCTAACGGTTTCTGTAAATCAGACACCATCAGCTCGGATCCACAGCGGATCATGTATATCAGACAGGTGTCTTCCGCATGTAGCGACTTGGGGTGCAGACAAGCAGACTGACAGGATACACATACCAATTTGAGCCCAGACCATTTCTGTCAAAGCTCCAATGAACTGAGGCGTAGCGTTGACGCCGAGCTTGATGGTTTCCTCGTCAACAATCTTTCCAATGGAAAGCCAAAGAGCGGATTTCAAACGCTAGATCACTAAAATCAGCAACCTAAGCATACACCAGGGCGCGATCTAGATATGGCGTACCTCTTCAAGGCTGACTTCCTCGTTTGGATCCATATTGTCGTGGCCAGAACATAAGGCCGCTATGCAAATGCTTGTACAGCTAAGAACGACTCTCTTTCGCTTAACTGGTTCTCTGATCCCACGAGAGTGTCCACATATACTACATTAAAGATAGACGCGTCCTTGAGCTTCAGACGCCCATTCGCGTTTGGTTGCTGTCACGTGCTTGCGGCGTAGATCACGCTAACCCGCAAAAGAATATTACCTTTTACGGAATTCTCCTCATCAAAGAGCTATCAAGACTGCAGGTACTCCTTTTCCAAGGTGTTTGCTCAATCGCAAGACCATTCGATTGTGCGTCCTCTGTGACAAGATTAGCAGGCCTTGGACTTTGTGTCTTGCTTTTGGGGGCAATAAATCCCGCAGCGAAAGCGGTTCTTATCTCTTCTACGGAGTACTCCATACCACCTTCCCCTCCGACCCGCTTCTTCGCGGGACTGGGATACCTCTTTTTTTCTCCTTTCTCTGTTCTCTCAATTTCTGCTCAAGTTTAACCATCTACGGGACCTCACTCCAAAACTCGCAAGAGTGAGATAAGACCGTTGATCACATCATCCTTCACCATGGCGTCCACCGAATCCTCCTCCGTCGTATCCGACGCCCTCAACGACTTCTTCGGCCAACTCTACACCTTCCTCGAAACGCTCTTCAAACGATTCTTCAGGAATCTCTACACATCATTCGCCGAACTCACCGCCAAGCGATGGACGAAAGTCATCGTCTCCGTCGTCGTTTACGTTCTCATCCGTCCGTACATCGAAGCCTGGTTCCGCAAGATGCACGAAAAAGACCGCAAGAAGCAATTGGAGAAGGAAAAGGCAGAGCGAGAGGCCACGAGAAAGAATAAAGCAAAGGTGTCCGCTAATGCACTGCGCGGTGGCGCCACCGGTAGCGGCAAAGTGCTAGGCGAGGTTGAGAACACTGACGATGAGATCGAGACCGGCGAGGACTTTGCTACCGCCAGTGGTGTGCCCGAGTGGGGGAAGAACGCAAGGAAGCGCCAGAAGAAGTTTATGAAGGAGCTGCAACGGGAAGCGGAGCACCGGACGGAGAAGTTGTCAGAGGAGCAGGTCATGGAATTGCTTGATTGGAGTGAATCGGAGGATGAGAAGAAGCAGGAGGAGAAGGAGTGAGAGGTAAACCTCTTTTTTTTCAGTGCCGTTCGTCGACTTCGAAGCTGGTCACGTTGCTCTTGGGCTTATTCCTGCTATTCCTCTTAATGTCCGCTTTCTTTCACCCGCTGTATAATTGACATATCTTCATGTTCTGTTGTTGAGGCTCTGTTCACGTACCAGCGACGACACGGACAGCACGGCTTATGTCTTTATACGTGCCCATAGATTACGTACTCCGACTATGTTCTCAAAAATTCAATGTCACTATTCTATCATCAAGCCATATGCAATTGGTCAACGTATCATCAAGGGGAGCTCATTCTAAGATGGATCCGTAGAAATGCACCAAGCAAAAGATATATCTAATGCAGCCTTCTGAGTGCTTCTATCATCCCTTTTACCTCGTCTACACTCATTTTGCCCACTGTACTGACGATTTCTTCCTGCACACTCGGCTCACAAGTGAGGAATCGCTCAATGAGCTCTCCATCCACGAAGCGGTACGGTTCTTTAGCCTCACGCACCATACTGCGGAAGCCCCGGAACTCATTGAATGGCATATTTCCAACCAATTCGACTTTTCCTGCAATTGTCGCTTGCAACCGCATCAAGAAGTCTTGGTGGTCAGGATTGATGATAGCAAATAGGTAAATAGAGCCTTCCACCTGTAGTTGGGATTGAATCGTCAGTCGTCTCGCAGAATTGGTTGGCAAAGACAAGGGAGAAACTCACAGTGCCTAAAAATGCTCGCGGAGTGACAGCCACACTAGCCAATTTTTGGATGTTGACCGGTCTGATGCGGTTGACCATCTCACCCAGCGAAATCTCACCCGTCACTTCCAAGCGACGCTTATCATCCTCCTCAACACCAGTGGTGTTACGATGAAGGACAATCAAATTACCTTCAGCGTCACTCTCCAGGAAAGTGTCTGGTGCGATGTTGGCAACACCGGTGGCCCATACAGTCTGAAAGTGGCGCGCAACTTCAGTCATTGTATCTGGCGTGCCGTTCTCGCCCTCCTTATACTCCACGAGGCACATGCTCTTCATGAGATCAGAGACGGCGATCAAATTGCCTGTCACCGTTACATCCACTGGCGCAGTCGAGGTCCTATAACTGGCCAGCTTCTCAAGTCTCATGGCGCCGAAATTGTTGTTGATGACTCTATATACAACGACCTTGGTGGAACGTTAGTACTTCAGTCTGGAAGGAGGTGGACCAAGAGAGAATGAATGCTTACTGTCTTGACGAGTGCAGCCACTATTTTGTCCCCAAGCATGGCCAATGCTCGGCAGGCTCCTTTGACGGGTAGCTCAGCAACCTGAGTCAGTTTTCGGCCATTGTCAACCTCAAAGATTAGGATACGACCACGGATTGACTCGTCCCCTTCATCGTCCAGGTACGCTGTCCCAACAATGAATCGATCTTTGACCTCATCTCGGTCGTTTGCGCCTTTTCCCGCCGGGAACTCCGCACGGATGACGCTTTCCACTAACTCCTCTGGCCGCAGCTCGAAAGCGTCGAGGCGCCGGAACAATATCTCGTCAGCAAGTACGAATCTGCTTTTGACGATCTCTGCTCCGTCGACGAGTTTCCGTTCGATGGTACCAATACCGAAAGCTTTCTCAGAAGGCGAGTACGCCACTCGTCGGACCGTTGCCCCGATTGGGAGTGTTTGGATTTGTGTTGTTCTCTCCTTGTCAACGAGAGCGATTTTCAAGTCATGAGATGTTGCGACTGCTATCGACTCTGGGTAGGCCTCCGAGTTGAAATGGCATATCCGGGAGGCGCCTTCGGAGTTTACTGCAGAGTATATAATCCGCCCTTCTGATTCGTAGATCATGCTAGGGTTTTCGCAAGTAGCAAAGACGTTGAACAAGCCATTGCCTCTCGGTAATTTTTTGAAAGTAGGTTGTTCAGAGCCCAGTATTAGCTTGGTCATGCCAGTCAATGAGAAGTCATTCGTGTTAAATGAGTAAGTGATTACACTGCCATCCGCCATGGAAACGAAGAGAGTAGGCGGGCTGTCCGTGAGCACGTTCGCCACGAGAACAGAACGAGGAAAAGCTTCACCAGCCAGGCCGACTGATGTCGTATGAAGCTCGGACAGATCCTGAAGCTTCAGTACCGAGACTTTTGCCAGCTGAGGAAATCCGGCAATACAGACCCCTGTCGGCGATGAGGGTACTGTGACTCCAGAAATCTGACTATCTGCCCCAAAATCTTTCTGCGTTACGACCTGGACTTCGTTGGTAATATCCAAGACCGTCACAAGCTCGCCGCCTGCAACAAGAACGATCGAGTCATCGTTGGCAGAGGCGGCAGTTATAACGAGCTGATTCGGTGGAGTCCATTCGTAAGTAACCATTCCACCCTCTACCTCTGCGATGAGCACCCTCT